TGCTCATTACAGCTTTAAAGATACAAAGCTAGAAACTGAGAAAGTTGAAAAACTGATTTATGCATGGGGCTTAAGACTAAAGCCATCAGTTTTAGGGTGTAGTGAAATTAATGTCTATTGTTCCAGAGAAATCTATGAAAATGACTAATCTCTAAAGAGAAAGAATAGCAACAGTTTTTACTGGAATTGTGTGTTCTATTTTTACTTTGTCCTTTCTAAAAGCAATACATTCTTGATGCTTCAAGGTAATTTCCAAAATCCTTGTTTTAAACAGATTTTCCCTGGACCTTTTCACATCTTTTATCAGTCTCCTGTTAATAGTTTTCCCATGACACCTACTCTTTGTTCTAGATGCTAGTGATAATTTTTATTTGGTCTATAGCATCTTATAGCTAGAAATTTGAACCGAGGCAAAATATTTTTCAGCCAATGCATGAAACAAGGCTAAGTGAAAATTATCATAATACACAAAATTTATAATACCAAGCAGAAATAATAAATAGATTATGAAAAACAAGTTGTTTAAATTGGAGTTTGCTATTGTCAGATTTGAGTCCTTCAGTGCCAGTTTCTTTTTCAGATACACACATACATAATTTACAGAGGGAAATAATCTTTTTACAGTGCCTAATATTTTACACACCTTTGATTTTGATTCATGTACCTACTTATGTTATGCTGAACAACCTAAGTACCTGAACTAATGATTATGAGACTGCTATGATATCTCTGCTGTTTGCAAACATTGGTTCATAAATAGTTCATGGTAAGGAGACAAACATCTATGACACTAATTTGATTAGTAAAACAGTAGAGAGCTTATGGCAAAAGAATCCTGTTAGAATCCTATTACCTGCAGAGGTCAATTCCATAATATTTCTCTGCAATGTAATAAGGAGATGAAAATGACTATAACTGTGACAGCAGATATTTAGCTTCTATATTCTGCATAGTCCATCACTTTGAAGCTCCCAGAAGGCCCATAGACAGAGCTGAGAAATGCAGGATTTCCTATATTTCAGAGAAACAGAAGTAAAACCAGCATCTGTCTCATCTTAAGTAACAGCTTTCTAGATGTTTGTAGACCTCATATTATTAAAGTTATTTTCATGCCACCCAAACAATTAAAAATAGAGAGAAATAAGACTGTTCATCTATTAATTTCTGAAAGTCTTGAATATGTTATGTTACTATATAAAATTAACCTTTCTGAGATACTTCCTCAAATATATCTATATGTATTCAATACATTCACAGATTAGTGTTTTAAACTAATTCCGATAGCATTATAAAGCTAAAATATATCTATATATCTGTGAGTTATTTATAATGTTATATTGGTTTACCTTTAGTGTGTCCTTTTCAGTAAAGTTCCATTTTCCCTGCCCATTGACAGCCTTCCATTCAGTAACCAATTTTAGTTTTAGAAATTTCAAACATTACAAATGAAAGGGAAATTACAGGTAAGGAAGTTGACTACAGATAGTCCTGTGAGTCCTGGTGTCTTACATTTGCTATGCCCTCCAATCCCTAATTAAACCAGAGTTAGAGAAACGTGTTGTCTATCATCTTTTCTGCTTTTATTCAGTGGTACTGAAAAGCATGTATCAAACTGAATATTTTGTGTGTCATTGACTTCTGCCTACTCACACAACCAGGCCTAGTACTTTACTTGGTCTGTGGTGTACTACTTTACAGCTCTTTTATCTTTCTTTTTTCCTTAATCAAAGTACAGGCAGAAATAGATGAAGGTTCAGCAGCATTAAGATGCAGATTACACATGCCACAGATAAGAAAAGTATTTGGATGGTTCACTCTGGTTCAGGCTCATTTGCACATAATAAGCTAAACCATTCAGAATACATTCTTTTCTGTGCTGAGGGATATATTTCAAAACAATAAACTGAGACAGAATTTTTATTGCTATTAAGAAAATTATTTTCCATTTTTTGGGGGGATTGGTGGTGGGGTTTTGCTGGTTTGTTTTGGACTTTTTTGTTTTGATTTGGTTTTGGCTTTGTTGTTGGGTTTTAATTTTGTGAAACATAAAAATAGCAAATAAATGAGGGTACCCTTTCATGCTCAAGATATTTCTAAAAAAAAAGTTTTTTCAGAAAAAACATAACAGCATAAATGACTATAATTGAAAGGCTAGTTTGAGAAATGTTCCAGGCTTTCTTTTCTCAGCTTTATATTAACATTTCTGTGAAACCTTCAGCAAATATTAAGAGCTCATTTCAGTCAGGTACAAAAGTTATTGAACAGAAATAATCCTGGTAAGGAGAAAATACCAACTGCTTTGATGTGGGCTCATGTTTAGATCATCTATTGGAGTACTAGCAGAGATTTCTTTCTACAGCTCTCTCTGCAACTCTGACCAAGACACTTATTTCTTCCAGTCAAGATTTGCTCTGCATAAAAATAAGCCATACTATTTAATTTTTTTTTATCTCAGTGATGTTCAAAATCACTTTTGTGAACTCCATTAATGGTCTTTAGGCAACCTACAATCAGTACATGCATATTAGTCATACAGTGCAAATAGTTTGCCCATTGTTATGGCTTCATTTCTCCATCAATTGAAAACAAATATATTGAAATTTTGCAAAATTCAATGGAGCTATAGTTTCTCCACGGTATGTATGGAATTTCACCACAAGTATGCATTTAGGAAAACGCCTGTTTATGCAAATGCTATAAGATGTATTATGCTGTCTAAGAGCAGAAATAGGTTCATGTATCGCTGAAAAGTGTCTTATTTCATTTTAGTATGTATTCTGGAACACTGACACAAAATTGCAAATGTAATGTATTATGCAAGTGATGTACTTTTCAGATAAGACCTTAATCACATTTTACATCTTTTCTTCATTTAAATATAAAACCAGTTGTTTGTTTTTTTTTTCCCAGCAGCTGACTGCTTTGAATAAATGTGGTCCTCTAACTTCCACTACTCTCGAATACATTAATTAATGGATTAGCTTTTAGTTTCTGAAAGAAACACTCCAAAAAAACATTTCAGTCCTTTCAAATGGGTTGCATTTCCACAGTATATTTATCCAGATGCTCTATCCAAATCTGTTCTCTCTGGTTCATTAAAGTATGTCAAGACTTCATATACTGTCTGGAAATTAACTTGCTGAAGCTAAAGAACAAAAATATTTGGAGACAATTCTTTCAGAGTTGCTGCTACTTGTAGACCTGAGCTTAGGTTCAGTGAGCAGTGAGCTGGCTCCTTCAGAAGCAGCAGTCAGCCCCAAGTTTGTCAGTACGTGAATGAGGCAGGCAGGGCAGCATTGGTGCCTGTGTCCAGGAACAGCAGAAGGGGCCAGTCAAGGCTACAGGGAATGGGCAGATCCAAAGTCAAGCCAGGGAGGCTGTCTGTAGGCCAGAGTCAACATTCTACACAGCTAGGCATTGGCCATGGCTGCAACGCAGCTCAGTCAGATACCAAGGGCAGAGAGCTGCAGGTGACATGCTCCAAAGAAAAGAGGTAGCCAAGGCTGATGCTTCTGCTTTTCTCAGGCTTCCCTTAAACAGCTTTGAGTGCAGCTGAGGTTTCCCAGGCCAGCCACTTTCAATGTCTGAGTTAGTCTTGGGCTCAGATAGCAAATATCCATGAGAATCTATGACCCTTTTATTCACATGAAGTAGTAGAGTTCACTCATTTGCCATTAATGAAATCTGTGTTTCAGGATTTGAGGGTACTTACTGTGAAGTTAACAGTGATGAGTGCATCTCCCATCCGTGCCAGAATGGAGGTCTCTGTGTGGATGGGGTCAACCACTACAGGTCAGGAAAATTACTTGAATGACAGATATGATACAAGGATTTTTATCATCTAGCTTTTCCTTTTGTACTTTGACTGTCAAATGTTTGCTAACCTTGGGGTGCGGGGGGGGGGGGGGGGGGTGTTGTAATGTGTTTGAAAGTTACATTATAGTCTAAATGTTGTTGTGTGCAAAAAGTAATACATATACACCATAAGTATGCCCCCAGAAATTATTGTAGGGCTAATTAAAATCATAAGGATCTAATTTTAAAAAGCAAAGTTGTTGTTAGTCTAGTTACAATAGTACAAACAATCTGAGTTGAAAACAGTACAAATACTTTATGAATAATATAGCTGTTATACAAGAAATCTTGCAATTATGTCTCTTTGACTATGATTACCCTCACAATGTTTGTGTGCATCCTGTGATTTTTTTTGAAGAGCTGGCAGTCTTACTGCAGGTCACTGGCATCTGTAAGTCTTTGTCAGCAGAACTATGATATTCACAGTGGGTTTTTTCTCATCTTCAGTCTCAGGCCTTCTTGGGGCCTCTCACTTACCAGCACCCCCAAGTCCTTCTCAGCAGGGCCACTCTCAATCTGCTCATCCCCCAGCCTGTGTTGATATCAGGGCTGCTTTGACACAGGTGCAGCACCTCACACTTGGTCGTGTTAAATCTCGTGTAATTCCCAAGGGCCCACTTCTCAAGGTTGGCTAGGTCCCTCTGGATGTCATCCCATCCTTCAGGAGCAGAACACACTATGGTCATCTTGGTGTCTCACACCCTCATCATAGGTGGTATTCCAGAGCTGAAGCTATAGCATGAGAGGCATCAGTCACTTGGCTGCAGGGGAGGTGTCAAAACAAGTGAAAAGCAGCTCAGGCCAAGAAAAATTCTAAGTAAGCCCTTGCACAGTGGGGTCAGCACACAGCCTGTGGCCTTCAGCTAATGATAACAAAAGGCTGGACTTCAGACACTCATTGGTGTTTTTTAAAGTACTGCCCTTTGCAATTACCAGTAAAAAGCAAAAATTATTTTGGTACTATTTAATTAATATCTCTCAACATCTGCCATATTTTTCCAGAATCTTTGTAATGACCTGAAAAGTAATGTAGTGACATCCCTTTTGCTAGGTGCTCCTGCCAACATGGCTTTACAGGGACCCTGTGTGAAGTGGAGATTAATGAATGCTTATCAAGACCGTGCAAGAACAATGGATCTTGCCTGGATCTCGTAAACAGGTCATTACTACTAAATGACAAGTTTAAATTACTGATTTCCTTATGTTAATTCTGGGTTTGGATGGTGCCTTCACCATACAACAAGTTAAAATGGAGTAGCAAATGCTACTGACTCAGTTTTTTGTTTCTTATGTTAACTTAAAGAAAGATAGAAGGGCAAGTGTCTTCTGCACAACTTGTTCTTTTCCTCACTTCTTTTTTTTTTTTTTAGTATCTAAAAAGACTGAAATAGAAGAGAATTGATTTTGTTAGATTGCTACAAACCCCGTGTTTGTTCAACAGCACTTCATAAGTTATTCAGAGACTTGTGCCAGAAGATCATTAGCCCTTAAGTAATTACTTATATCTTCAATTAAAATTACTGTGCCAAATTGTTCTATTAATTTAACAAAAAGTAAATCACCCTCTTTGCTTCAGAAACATAGAAATGAGAAAACTCTGTTCATTATTTTAATGTGGATTAGGATTAGGGACACCAACTTGGCACCAGGAGATTCATATGGCTTTAAATTATTGCAATAGATCCCATTGTTACTTTCATTGACATAGTTGATTTTTCCTTTTCGAAAGATTCATTTGTAACTGTGCACCTGGATACTATGGGTCTCTGTGTGAGATGGATGTAAATGAGTGTGAAACTTTGCCTTGTCTACATGGAGGAAGCTGCATCAACAGGCTTGGAGGCTATCAGTGTCTTTGTCTACCTGGATTCACAGGTATGATCTACACTTTACTATAGCTGAGAAGCTTATTTCACTGGTTTTACATGGTTTTAATACTATGGCAAGAATAAAAATTATTCTCCTTATTGGAGGATAAATTAGTACTAACTTAAAAATTATTTTATCTAATTATTTTCAAGTAGTATAAGATTATTTATACTAAGACTTGAATTATAATTTTGTTAATCATCCGTACATTCAGTTTAAATGAGTTATTGTATAGTACAAAGAAAATTAATGTGTATTCTTTTTAGTTCAGCCAGGATAAAAACTATTAACATAGTTACAGAGTAAATTTTGCAAACAATAAAATGCTACCTTGTCATTTGAATTTGCACAGAACCACAGAAATACCTTGACTTTTTGACCCATTTGATCTACACCACTGCCTTTAGTGCTAATCTTTACAGAGTCATGACAAAATTTTCAGTGGGTAGAGATGCAGTAAAATTTCATTAAAATGGTGTTGACTTTTAATTAAATACTCAGTGTGCTGCTGAGCTAGTTCATACACAGTGTTTTGATAGATCCATCTTAAGCAACATGGGACCATATGACTGCAGAAATATTTACAGTTGTTTCCTCAAGTTGAATAATTTCTGGGTTTTTTTCTGTATAGGATAGTTTTTCCTATCTATTCCAGCCTGTGATGAACACCACATAAAGTACAAGATTAAAAAGGATGCAATTTGCATCCACTGAACTGAGAGGAATGTAAGTCTCCACAGAACAAAGAACATGTAAAGTTTTGGGAATTTCTATGTAGCTGTATATCCTTCTTCCGTCCACTACAAATCTTAGTCCACATATCACTTGTGCAGTGTTCTTCAAAATTATCCTTGATATTTCAGCAAAAAATGAAAAAATCAATATTATTTTCCTGCCTAAATCTTCTAAAGCCTCCCCCTGAAATATTTTCTTCACATGGCCTGTGTTCTAAGTAGTATTTCTTGGGTGTCACAGAAACTTCTCTTCATTAGGCAGTGGTGCTGCAGATGTAATTTCTAACATGTAAATGTTAGAACAGTTGTATCAAACTTTATGTACGTGTTTCTTTAAGAATTCCCTGTTATATTTATTAAAGACATGATACCTGCACATAAGCACTTAGTAGATTCTAATTTGAAAAGGAACAAGCAATCTGCAGGTGTGCTTTTGTCTTGATTTTTCATTATTGACAAAGCAGTTTGATTTTAGAGCTTTTACCTAACATATTTAACCAACAAGAATAAGATGTGTTTTGTTCTGGATTTTTTTGGGATTATTTTTTTCCAATTAAACTGCAATTTAGGAAGAACTTTTTCTTTCAAAGATCAGACCCCTTTAAAGATAGGTAACAGCATGAATTGTTCCCAATGATCAGTTGAATTTAAAAAAAATGTTTTAATTTACTGAGAACTTTAATCATCAACTATTAAAATATTATACACTTACAAATGAATGAAAACTGGAAACAAATTAAAATACATTAAATTGTTTAGGCCAAATGATTTTAATATATTTCATTTTGTTTAATAAATCTTATTTTAAAATTACTAACTTTTATTAGATATTCTGAATGTTTTTTGTGGTCATCATTTAATTTACTGTCTTAGAGAAGGCAGTCTCTAGACACTGATCTCTGCTCTGTTGCCTCTAAAATTTTGGCATTTAATGTATCTCTTATTTTAAATTCTTAAGTTATTTAAGTTTAAAATAGAATTTTAAGTTCTCCATGAATTTATGTTATGTTGTGTTTCTTTTATATTGTTTATAATTTTATTTAATTTAAAATAAATTTTTTTAACAAAAATACTTTAGAAATAATTTGTTAACTATTAAAATATTACGTTATCCACACTGCTAATATAAAATCCAATGCTTTACACACCACATAGACTCTTAAAAAAGATTATCAACATTCAGAGTAAAAACACACAGGTGTATTCTATTATGATTTCACTGGCAGCAACAATGGTTTTCCTAAACTCTAAATATCACTAATGCACCCTGTTTAAAATCCTTACACCAGATACTTTGGAGAACAAAACTTTGGTGATCTAGGAATGTAGCAAACTGTTCTTTTCTAAAGCAAAATAAGAAGTAAAATGATGTCATAAAGCAGTTCTGATAGTCCTAAGTAAAATAGCTCTTAGAGATCATAAAAGTAAAAGATCATAGCTGTTACTGCTTGTTGCTTGTACGTTGGTGGTACCAGAGTGTTATAAAATGGAAGATGCCTTGTGAGACACTGAATCTAAAACCTTTATTGTCTAAACAGCCATTTATTGGCTGGAGTAATGAATATTTTGCTTATAACAATAACTGTTGATTCAAATCTAAAGAAACTAACAAGTAAACTTTTTGCTTTGTAATGTATCAACTATGAGACTTAATGTGCATAGAGGACAGATATTTTGAGTAAGAAAACACTGTGCTTCCATAGTCATCTTTACACTAAATAGGCTTTGAAATATGTCTTACTCAGGAACTGCTTTTCTCTATATGATTCCAGAATTCTTTGATTTTGTAAATGTTACTATAAATACAGGAAATTTGTTGATAATCTAAAGACATCAAAGGGTATGTAACAATTACTTGGCTTGATAAGTTACCAAGGTTCTTTGTGAGGGAATCTGAAGATGCACTGTAAACAAGTGGAACTTTCATGACTGTATGTGTAATTATAAATGAAATGGAATTTAACCAGCAGATTAAAACTAGAAGCAAAATATATTCTAGGTGTACAGATATATCTTCATTGATGCAAAGCTGTCTCATGTATTCTGAATCTGCACTCCTATAAAATTATGTAAAGAATAAAATTAGAAAAAATATATATGTCAATATTTCACTGAGTTTGATATTAAAAAAAATAATGAAAAGACTGATATTAACTTCACTTCAAATGCTCAGTAGAACGTTTTAAAAGGCATATGTTTTTTAACACAATGTGTTGCCATATCTTGCCCTGAAAGACACTTTCATGACTGAGGTGTTAATCACTTTTTCTAAATCTTGCCATCTGAATAATCTTATGTCAAAATATAACCTGGATGATTTAGACATGCTTCAAGTGAAATAATTATCATGTTGATTAAAAATTTATTTTATATTCAGGTATAAACCATAAGTGTCTAGGTCACCAACTCAGCTGTAAAATGGATTTAATAAGAATTCAAGTTTTTTGACTCTAGAGCTTTGTTAATTTATAATTCCTTAATTTGAAAGGATTCTAGGATTAGCAAAATGTGACTGTCTTCATTGAAAGACTTGATGATTCCTTAGACTTTACTTTCTGGTTTTCTTTATTTGAGGTTAAGAAAATAATTTTAAGATCTCTTTGAGAGACTAAAGTGTTTGGATTTTTTTGAATGTGTTGGGTTAACCTTGTCCTGCTGCCAGCTGATCATCAAACTGTTCTTTCAGTCCCTTTCATCAACAGAATAAGAAAAGAAATTAAGGATGAAAACTCATGGGTCAGGGACATAGACAGTAACATTGAGTGCACCCTCAGTAAGTTTGCCAATGACACCAAGCCGTGTGCTTCAGCTGATTTACTGGAGGGAAGAGATGCATCCAGAGGCCCTTGCCACACTGGAGAGATGGACCTGTGGGAACCTCGTGAAGCTCAACAAGGCCAAGTGCAAGGTCTTGCATGTGGGTCTGGATAATCCCAAACTGGAACTATTGTTTGACAAGGAGTCAGGCATAGCATGGCAGTGTGCACTTGCAGCCCAGAAAGCCACCCATATTGTGGACTGTAGCAAAAGCAATGTGGCCAGCAGGCTGAGGGAGGTGATTTTCCCTCTCTGCTTTGCTCCTGCACCTGTCTAGCTCAGGTGTCCCAGCACAAGTACAACACAGACACTTTGGAATAAGTCCAGAGAAGGGTCACAAAAATGGTGAGAGGATTGGAACATCTCTCCTGTGGAAACAGGCCAAAAAGGTTAGGGCTGTTAAGCCTGGAGAAGAAAAGGCACCAGGGAGACTTTATAGCAGCCTTGAAGTGTGTACAGAGGGATAGAACATGGGGGAATGTTTATAAACTAAAAGAGGGGACTGTGTCTGTCATGAGGCAATCCCTGATCTCTTCTCACAGAAGGTGCCTTGAAGCTCCTCCATCAACACTTTCTCACCTCCAGTCAATATTAAAAATAAGATTTCAGTAGCTAAAATAGAATGTGTGTTAAAATGAGCTATACAAATTCAAAATTCTCATTCAAATGGCCAATTACTGGCTATCATCCAAAACATGCCAAAAAATGACTAAGTGCCGCAAAGTCAGTGAATTCAGTCATTTCTGCAGAGCAGTAATTACTCTGTAGCTTTAAATAGTTATTCTGTTAAGCAAAGATCTCTTTCTTATCTTCCCTATGAGTACAAACTGACATGTGGAAGTGACTAAGTGTGTACTTAAGTTATATGTTAAATGAAGTCAAAATCTTGGTTTAAATAACTCAGCTTGTATTTTATCTTTTATGTCAGTTTTGAGGTCCAGTCTTCCTTATCATCAACCTCAGACCCTGCTGTTCATCTTATCTATGTGACAAGGGAAACTGCTTCACTTTTTATACAATAGGTTCACCCAACAAAAAAGTCATACAAAATCTAATCAGTTAAAAGGGAGAACAGTTTACTTTGTCTTTTTGACCTTCCCAGCTGCTTTTACAGCTTTGTACTGCCAGTCAGCTCTGGTAGTGATTGCATCTGCACTCCTCAAGCCTCATTGCATTTCTTGCCATTGATATCCAATGGAAGAAGAGTAACTACACTTCTAACTGAAGTGATCACTTATTTAGTCAGACAGGAGGAATCTAGTGACCTGCTCCTTGAGATATTAAAGCAAGAGGCAGCTTACACATAAAGAGGTCAAAACTGGCTGGTACATGAGAACAAATTCAACATGCAGACTGATAGATCTGCATTTCTGTGCTAAATGTAGAATTTGTGGTGTCTGTATTTTAGTTTTAATATTAGAGTATTTACATAAGTTTGGAGAACTGTAGAAACTTTAGGTATGGTGAATACACCATAAGAATGACACAAATTTGCTTTGTGCATTTTCCTGAGAAGTGCTGTAATGTCTGTGCTGTATTTGATTTGTGAGGAAAGGAGGGGGCACTTTTGCTGGACTTCTTGAGCTTATTTATTCAACAGAGACTTCCTAGGCAGAAAGAACCCAGAACAGTAAGGTGCAAACTCATTGAGTATTTGGCTTGAAGTGACAAGTCAGGACTGCTAGCTGTCTTTCATGGGAGCTAAGGTCAGCACACAAACGTTCTTTTTCCTCTCAAAGTGACTTATGGCCTATGAAGTAGAGCCTTAAGACATACTTTAAACAGTTAAGTCTTAGTCTGGTGGCAGGTTTGCTTCATTCATTCTCCTTCTTGTTCATGGAAGAGAGTGTTCAAGAAGGTATGGCCAACAGGAAGAATAGGAAACACCTGACTGAGCTCAGATGCAGAGAGGAAGCCAGGGATGGGCTACTTAGGAGGAATATTTTGTCATTGCCCAAGTGTATAGAATTGAAATTGGGCAAGGAAAAGCTAAATTAGAGCTGGGAATAGAGAAAATGTGCAAAGCCATAAGGAAGCCTTTTATATATACTTTGGGAGCAAAATGAAAGCCAATAAAAAAGTGGACCTATTTCTCAGTAGGGTGTGAGACTTTGTGACAAAAGACATGGAAGAATCTGCAGCATGCAAAGTTTTCTTCAGGTTTTATGACTAAAGATCAAACTTAAGCTTTCCAGTGTTCTAAGTCTTGTGGCAGACTTGAAGGTATGCTTTTTTTAACAGGCCTTCTGATATAATATGATCAATTCACCACTACCAACATTTACTAATCTACCTGTCCACCTTTCCAGACTATAAAGCCCTAACTTGTGTACAGGAATATTGTGAGATACAGTGTCAAAACCATGCTAAAATCATGATAAGTAACATACACTCCTAAGAGCTCCAGAGCTGTTAGAGTTGTTCCCTATTATTGCTAACTAGGAGAGTCTTTGTACTTTTCATCCAGTGTAACTGGAGAGATTTTTGAATATATTTCAGTATGTCATTGTGCGTGCTTTAAAGGAGTCTCTATTTTATAAGAGTTACCAAGGCCCAAGGGATTGAAGCCTCAATTTCCACACAAATTGCTCTGCTACAAATACTGAGACAAAGGAACATTTAAGCAGCTCTAATGTTGAGTTGAGCTAAGTTGTGGTGTGAGAACACCCCAAAGGAGCACTACATAACATAATGCCAGTCTATTCTTTTGTGATTCCATGATATTTGAGCTTTGTGTAAGTTGTAAATGTACTTTATATCTTTCATATTGAATTATTCAATTGATCTTTGCAGCTTGCCCGGCTATAGTGTGACACTGCGATGTTGCTTCCTCTGGAAATATTGACAACTATGTTAATTTTCTTATGATGTTTCCTATATTCAGACATGAATTAATAGACTTACTTGCACGGTTTCAGGTTTATCTTGTTCTATATCCCTTTTTGTAAGTTTATTCAACTGTCAACTAAATCTTAATTCTTAACTGCTATATCTTTAGGTGTGTCTTGATTACTTCATTTTGCATTTTAGTAAATATTTCTGCCTTCAGCATGGGGATGCCCCAGCTGTGCACTGATCCAGCAGTGCAAAGGCTCAGCCTTGCCATGGCTTATCAAGTTTCTGGCTTAATCCCTGTGCTGGGGCCAGTGGCTGTTGCCTGTTCTGTTCCAGCTTCAGCTCTGGGATGGTCCCACTGGAGAGAGGGTGACACTCCCCACCTGTCACTGCCTGGCAAACCATGGCCCTCTGTGTGCATGGGGGATTTTGAGGGTCTGGGGTGTCTGAGCACCACTCCCAGGCTACTGCTGGCAGCCTTTCCTGCTAGGAGCAGGAAAGTTGTAAAGGGAAACCCAAGTAGAGCCTAAGACTGGGGAAAAAGAAAGTATCAGTATCATGTTCCTTCAAATGAAGAAAAGAAAGAAATCATGCTTCAATCTAAAGTTCAAATATCTAAATAACAGTACAAGCTACAGGTGACGTTTTTATATTTTATACTTCTGGTTCTTGTATTCCCTTTTAAATTAAATGGGAAAATATAGTTCTCAAGAGCCATGTATATGTATCCAAGGTCCCTAATTGATATTTAATGAAAACAAAGGTTGTCAAAGTTTTAAACCGAGGAAATTAAACTTTAATTGTTTTAATTACTTTGTTTCACATGGTCTAATCTTATCTTGTAAATTTCTCTGTAGTCAAAATCAAATCTTGTCTAAACAAAGGATAAGATACTTCAAAATAGGTGGCAACCTTTAAAATTTACTGCAGTCCAATCACCACCAATTGAATTTGACTTGATATAGGTGAAATAATTGCCTGAAATAAGTCTGTTACTGACACAAAGTACAATAAAAATAGAAAACCTACATCTCTGGCATTAGTCACTAAGTTATAATAAATCTTACTTAAGATGAAATCAACAAAAACAAGCTCAGTGACCTTTTCAGCCCTAGTTTTCCATGCACAACTCAGAGGAAACTTTTCTTAACAGATTATTTACTCATAAGAGACTGAATGAGACAATGCTAAAATTATGTTGAAAGAACCTTATGCCTTTCACAAGATTAATGTCAGTGTGACAAAATGAGTACTTCTTCTTTACAGTCAGTTACTATTTTTAAGTGTATTTTTAGATTTGTATGAAATTATTTAACAAATAATTTATTTTCTTTCTGTAACTGGAATATGCTCCTTAATATGCTTTTTAGTATTTCTGTTCATGTTTAATTTGTTAATTTTCATTCCTTAGATTTCTGCTATAGATTTTTTCTTAATATATATAATTGACTTAATTATTGGTTATTCATATGATAAACCTATTAATTGATATTTTGAGTCACATCTGTCTATTATGAAATCTCATGGAATGGTCACAAGTAGTTGTCAGTAGTATTATAATATTTGATACCAAAATTGACTTGAACATGGGAACTAGGTGCTGCTGAGCAATTCTGAAAGGAAATCTCTCCTTTTCTCTCCTTTTTTTCTATTTTCAAAAGGATAAAAAATTTTCAGCTCCCAGAGAAAGACCAAATTTCTTTTTCTTTTTTTCTATATCATGTGTAAATTAGTATAGCATGCTAATTTATTATTATTTTCCATTTTTTAGTATGTTCTCAGCAACCAATTGCTTTTTTATCATGCATTTGTTTTTATTTTCCAGGTAGAAAATATTTAACTTTATTGCTCCACAAAATTCTGTGTTCTTCCTTTTCATTTTTTCAAACTACTCAATTCTCATAAATTGGTATCTTTAATTTTTAATCTTCTCAAGCAGCACTCAAATAATCAAATATCAAACAGAGGTCATCACTTTATATTTGTCATTTTTCATGATGTATGTTAATATAACTATCCTTTTGGTATTTACACTATAGGTAATTCCAGATAGATATTTTTATTGATGACTATCATGAACTATATGAACAATCTATGTAACTAAAATCAATTATGTGAAAATATTGATATTAATAAATATTGTGTTAGTTTGTTTGAGTTTAGAATTTAACATTTAATTGCATTTTCTGGATTTTTAAACAGGTAATAGGTGTGAAGTAAATACAGATGAATGTATGTCTTCTCCTTGCCTCAACAATGGAAGTTGCATTGATGGCATCAGTTCCTACAAGTGTCACTGTAAGCAAGGTTTCATTGGAACAAACTGCGAAATAAATATTAATGAATGCTTGCCAAATCCTTGTCTTCATGGAAGGTGCCTATTTTTATTTAACTATTATTTTCTCCATGATAATGTACCTAACTAACAATATTCAAGACTTAATGATATGGGAAGTTTGATAAATATGCTTTTAATTATGTTCTTCCATAAAGTAAAAGCACACTTAAAGATGACAGATGCTGCCTGCTTAATCTAATGTAATATAGTGACATTATCTCAATTTCTCCTGCATTTTTGTTCATTACCATAACTAGTATTCAGTAAGTGGGGATTAATTAGTGTTTAATATACTTAAGAGAAAATCTTTAGCTGTTACTTGCCAACAGTTGAAATGAGAAGATTTCTTCTAATGTGACAATCAAAATCCTTACAAAATGCCTCAGTGCCCACAATATGCACATTTGAAATCCATTATAAAACTATTGAAAAGTACCATGGATTATAGTACGTTACATCAGACCACTATTTTGAAATGCATGGAATGATACTGCTAGTGCTGAATCTGGAACTATAACTAAAGAGCTAAATAGGACTCTTTTGTATTTCAGATGCATAGATCTCATTGATGGGTATCAATGCTCTTGTGAACCCGGATGGACCAGCTCAAGATGTGAGATAAATATTAATGTATGTTTTCAAAATTTTTTTTAATTATAGAGGAAAGGGTGATATGTCATTGAAACTTATCTTTATTTAGTTAACCTCTGAAGCCAGTATCTAGAAAATGTATGACAGAAATTCAGTTGTCTAAAATCCATTCTGAAAAGTGCATTTCTTTGCTTACATGACAGTGCATTAGAAAAGACCCTTAACAAAATGTCGAAAGAAGTTTAAAAGTGAAGTGTGAATGATAAATCTGGAAAGCTAAGCTGACATTACCTGAATATCATTTGTCCCTCGGTTTGGGATGAATAGTATATTACCTAATTTGTGTGTTTAAGTCTCATTTGCTGCAGTTTAGCTGCATATTTGAATAGTAAACCTCAAGGTACAATGTTCTACACTGAGAGTTGCCATGACTTGTCTTTAAATTTGAAAACCATGCAGTAATAGAATTCTATGGTATAAAACCATGGGGTACTAAATACACTGCCCACTTAGTCCTCTGAAGTTCATTAATAATTTCATGTTCTCATGGGGAATGGTTGTGGTCAAAAACGGATCCATATATATAAGTCTGTGCTGTGTAGATTCCCAGGGTCAGCAAAACAATTTGTAGAAGGTGAATACATCTGGAAGAACAATGAACAGAGTTTACAATATTGACTACACTTTGCAGAAAGTATTGAACTGATTTAGACTTTTAGGTTTTCTGCCAAATGGAGTTTAATATGATCTTGGGATATGATCCTTTCAAATGTATTAGGTCTCATGAGAAAAACTGGCATGAGAAATTTTGTCATGAACCTTCCTTCAGGCTATCTGGCTTCTAATATTGCGCTACTGAGTTGTCAAAAAAACATTCCAAAATGTTATAGAAACTTCTTTTTTAACTTATGTATGAATGCAGGGACATTTCATAATTTTTATTTACAGCTTGAAGTACTATATAACTAAAAATGTGTCATATTACATAAAGGAAGTATGGTCCATAATTCTTCTGTTGAAAATATGTGAAAGTCTCACATAAGGTGTAATTCTTGCTGGTATATTAGCTTCCAAACTCTTTTACAGAAAGAAAAAGACAGAAAATAAGTAATCCAGCTCTACAGAATGCCCATCATGATATGATAAGATATGATATTGCAAATCTGTATGTTTATCAGCTGTTGCAAATGCTAATACAGAATACTCTTGGGTAATATTTTCTTCTGAAGCATCCATGATTTACACTTTTTTCCATTTGAAGAGAACAAGAGATTAAATGACCTATAGAAACATCATAAAATTATATTCAAAACATAATCATATTTCATAGCGAGATGTTTGAAAATGCATAGATTAGAAACTCATAGGAAGAAACAATATACATCTACCTTTGACAGATAAGTCTGTCAGAGTAACAACTTCATTTTTTGATAGTCTTTCAATTTGCATGCAGTATGATTCCCACATTACACTATGCTGCAAATGTCATATTTTAAAGGTTCTATCATTGCATACATGCTGTTCAGACATATATCATATCTATGTGAATCTATAATCAACATAAAAGATACACATGAAAGATATATTTTAAGTGCCAGTGAGGCTGTGAGCAGTGTCAGACCTATGCAACTCTTACAGTGATCAGCTAGGCTTTCTGACTATGTTGGGGTATGCATAAAGCAATAATCATAGTAGCTTATGCTATGTAATTTTTTTTTTTTCTAGAGTAGCTTTGGCCACTTTCATTTTAAAAATAGTAATGATTTAATCATATATATATATATATATATATATATATATATATATATATATATATATACACACATAATATATATATATACATATATATAATTTTCTTTATTTTCTTTCGTGACTTGAAAGTACACTTTTTTACACTAAGGGCTATGCAATTTAATTTGGTGCAGTAGCCAAGATTCTCTTTAGAAGGGGGTCTGCAGAAGTGGCTTTTGTGACAACAACCCAGGGGCTGCTCCATGGTGGAAACAACCCATTTGAGTCAGCTCCACCCAACCAACTGCAGGGAAGAGCTGAGCCTCTCACTTAAGATGATGGCACCTTTGTAGAAACATATTTAGGAAAAAGCAGAAAACACTGTTCAGCAGAGAAAGGAGTGAGGGGGGAAAGAATTGTGAGAAACAACCAGGCAGTATCCAACGCCATTGAAGGAGGAGAGGGAAGAGGCGCTTGAGATGCTGCAGCAGAGATTGTTGGAGCTGTAGCTGCTGAAGACAATCATGATGGAGCAGGTATTTGGCAGTTATTCGTGGAGAGAACTATGCCAGAGCAGACATCTGCACTGCAGACCACATAAGACTCCAAGCTGCAACATGTGAATATTGCCTGAGTGTTGCAGCCCATGGAGTGCCCCAACAGGAGCAGGTTGTAGGCAAGAACTGTGATGCACAGAGAGAAGTCCATGCAGGAGCAATTTCATCCTGTAGCACATAAAGAGGACCCACTCTGAAGTGGGAGAAAAGTGGGAGAAAGAAGGAGCACCAGAGAGGAGCTGGTGTGAACTAAGATCCCTCTCTCCTCCCCCATCTAAACTTTTCAGGGTGAAATGAGGAAGTAGAACATTTTGAAATAGAGTGATGAGCCTGGGAAGAAGTGGAGTGTGGATTTATGTTTTCTTTCTGTTTCTCATTGGTCTGTTTCTAGTTGAATGTAAGTTATTATTTTACCCATGTTAAGTCTGATTTTCCTGATTGTTACAGTAAATGGTAAGTTATCTCTCTGTCCTTGTCAATCTAGGAGCTTTGTCATCTTCTTTTCTTTCCTTGTCATGTAGGAGGAGGGAGAGTGAGAGAATGGCTGGGTGGCCATTACAAGGTCAGCAACTAAGATGATTCAAATAACCAGTTTAAAAATAATTTTTATGTGTGTATATGTATTTCCCCAGGCATGCTTGGATCTTTTTTCTTTACTTTTTTACCCTGATTTTTTTTCTTTTTTACCCTGGATTTTTTCATCAGTTCTCAAGAAAATACACTTCAAAGCTTTATCTAGTAGTCTAATACTTTTAGGTACAAAATAAGCACTATATATCTTTATAGTTTTGGCCTATAACTTTTGCATATCACTTACGGAGTGTGTATATTGGAACTTCTCTATCTACTGCAGTTTTCATTGCTTTTTCATTTATGGAATTAACTCAAAAACAAGGAACAGTAAAAATATATGCACTATATGAATCAATTTCAATACACATTATTTCCTTTGACATTTGTGTATTTTTGAAATTATAAAATGAATGTACATAACGGAAAATTGATCCTTCCTCTCTGATAAACATAGAATAATAATATGTGCAGTAATAGCAATTATGGTTAGACATTGCTTCTTACTTTTTTTGACTTGTTTCTTTACTATGAGGTATGAGACATGATTGAGAAACGTGCTTCTTCCATGCTCAGTTAAGATGGCTCATCCTGTCAAAAAAGAAGCAAAAAGCATTTTGAGTCTTTACACAGGAGAATATTCATCTTGTTGTTGTTTTGGCTTGTATCTGATAGAAAGCTGTGATCTGACTGCATCCTAGATTTGTTTTATCTGGTTTTACCAATCTTTCCTCTCTATTTTCATAAAAGATATAAACAAGTGGTAAATCAGGAAAGTCAGCTAATTTTCTGTGCAAAGGCACCACAGCTTATGCACATGCCGAGGCTACTTCAAACAAATAAATATTTATTCATCAGGATCAGCCAGACTGGACAGAAGACATGGGTATTGCCAACATTGATGGGTGTACAAAGACCCTCAGATAAGGTGGATGCTTTTCATGTCTCTCTGAGATTTTTCACACTCCTGAGTATTTTTACCTATTGCTTACTAGTTTAAAAAGCATTTGATAAAGTAATTAATTTCTTGAAAGAAGCTAAACTAAGATTAACATAGCAAAAAAAAATAATGTGGTTTATGCACAAGATGCAGATAGGTAAATCTAAGAGTAGGAAGAAAGGGAGATACCCACTTTATTCTGCAAAACACAATATCTGTAATTGCAGACCCATGGGGCAATTTCAGTGTGTGTAATACTTCAGAGACATCTGGCTATGACATAGGAAGTTTATTTTAAGTCAGAGTGACTGAATTAGAGTATTTTAAATAGAAAATAATAGGAAAAATAGATAATATAGACTAGTGAAGAAAAGAAATGGGTGAGACCTACAAGAATGTTGAAGAGGAGTTTAACCCCCAAAGTGCTAAACCCTCTGAGGACATTCAACTGACAGGTATATTTATAATCTTTGACATGAGAGAATCCTATTGACTGATATCATAGTATGCTCTTGCATGACAGATACTCTAGCAAGAGAGTA